CTCTTGTTGCCCAGGCTGGAGTGCAGTGGTGCGATCTCGGTTCACCGCAACCTCCACCTCCCGGGTTCAAGCGATTCTCCTGCCTCAGTCTCCTGAGTAGCTGGGATTATAGACATGTGCCACCATGTCTGGCTAATTTTTTGTATTTTTAGTAGAGATGTGGTGGGGCAGGCTGGTCTCGAACTCCTGACCTGAGGTGATCCGCCCGCCTCAGCCTCCCAAAGTGCTGGAATTACAGGTGTGAGTCACCGTGCCTGGTGCAATTAGAGATTTCTAAATATTTTAGAGGCCAGTGACTATTCACTTGATTTTTTAATATATAACTAAAAATTCTTGATTTTTTAATATACAACTAAAAATTCTTAAACATGTAAACTACTAGCTTATTTTTTCTATCTCAGTTTATTAATCTGTTTTTGTCTTCGGTAGGAATTTGACAGATTTATTGCATTGTTAAAAACTAAAAACTGGAAACAACCTATGTTGATAAGGATTAAGTAGATCATGGTAGTCCATACTAGGAAACCATTAAGCAACTAGAGAATGAATGGGTAGATCTGTAAGTACTGACAGGGAAATATTTACACAATATGTTATATAAAACAAGTTCATTCATTCATTCAACATAGCTTAACATAGTACTGTCTATGGCATTCTTAGCAAAAAAAAAAATTGAACCTAAGTCTAATTAAGCCTTCAAATCCAACTATAAGTTTATGGGAAATATAGAGAAGAAAGGAACCAAGAGATAAACAGAATGATACTAAATGGATACATTCGGCCACAGCCAGAACATGAGAAATTCTTTTTTTCCCCTCCCAGCTCAATCCTTGTAGAACACAGGAAATTCTAAAGGACAAATAAGCCAGGTTTTTCAACAAACAAATAGCAAGGAACAGAGAGGGAGCAGAAACTTTTACAGTTCTAAGAGACCTACCAAACACAACAGGCAGATCTTATTTGGATCCTGGTTCAAACGAACCAACTGTAAAAAGTTATTCATGAAACAACCAGGAAAATGTGTACATTGACTAAATATTAGATGATGTTAAGGAATTAGTGCTAATTTCTTTCTTTCTTTCTTTTTTTTTTTTTTAGACGGAGTCTCTCTGTGTTGCCCAGGCTGGGAGTGTGCAGTGGCACGATCTTGGTTCACTGCGACCTCTACCTCCCAGGTTCAAGCAATTCTCCTGCCGCAGCCTCCTGAGTAATTTGAACTACAGGTATAAGCCACCATGCTCGGCTTTAATTTCTCTTTTTTCTTTTTTTTTTGAGACGGAGTCTCACTCTGTCACCCAGGCTGCAGTGCAGTGGCGTGATCTCGGCTCACTGCAACCTCTGCCTTCCGGGTTCAAGCAATTCCCCTGCCTCAGCCTCCCGAGTAGCTGGGACTACAGGTGCACGCCACCATGCCTGGCTAATTTTTGTATTTTTAGTAGAGACAGGGTTTCACCATATTGGCTAGGTGGTCTCAAACTCCTGACCTCATGATCCACCCGCCTCAGCTTCCCAAAGTGCTGGGACCACAGTCGTGAGCCACCGCGCCTGGCCCCGGCCTAATTTCTTTATGTATGATAATAAAATTACAATTATATGCCTTCAGAAAGTTTTCTGTGCAGCTACTCAGAAGGGTGAAGTGGGAGGATCACTTAAACCCAGGAGTTGAAGTCCAGCCTGGGTAACACAGCAAGATCCCATCCCACCAGATAAATAACAGTAAAAAGAAAGTTTTCTGTGAACTTGCAGAACAATATGAGGAATATGATCCCATTTTGTCAAAAAAACAAAAACATGCATGTATGCATGAAAATATTATAAATATATAAATTTATTTAATTTATACATTTTAAATATAAATAAATACATATATATTTGTTTTTGAGACAGGGTGTCACTCTGTTGCCCAGGCTGGAGTGCAGTGGAGTGATCATGGCTCACTGCAACCTGTTTCTCCCAGGCTCAGGTGATCCTCCCACCTCAGCCTCCAAGTAACTGGGACTACAGGTGTTTGTCATCACACTCAGCTAATTTTTAAATTTTTCTGTAGAGACAGGGTTTCGCTATATTGCCCAGGCTGTTCTTGAACTGCCAGACTCATGTAATCACCTACCTCGGCCTCCCAAAGCGCTAGGAGTACAGGTATGAGCCACTGCACCCGGTCGGTCTGTCTATCTATCTTATCTATCTTATCTTATCTATCTATCATCTATCTATCTATCTATCTATCTATCTATCTATCTATCTATCTATCTATCTATCTATCTATCTATCTATCTATCTATCTATCTATCT